AAAGAGCTCCGGCAGTGGAGCCTGCAATAGCAGTAACAGACGAAGCCACTGCAGAGGATGCTGTTGAGTCTCCACTTTGAGATGTCATCTTATTTGCGGTCCACTGCCAAACGCTTCCTGCCGATCCTGATCCAGCTGATCCCAGCTGATACATTTTGTAGGCAATCAAGCACGCCAAAATAGATCCGCCAGCAATGTAAACCACATTCAAATAGTTTGATATATTCCTTCTGGGCAGAAAGGTGCAAGGCATCCGTAGATATGAGTTCTGCGATGGTGCATTTAGGTCTCTTTGCTCCATTCCACTTAGGACCAAATATGCATACACAATTTGCTGAAATCGCTTGACGTCTTTCAAATAGCATGTGGCCAGGAGTTCCTGATAAGCTTTGGTAATTTCTTGTTTGGTCGCATTTCTCTTTATGTTGAGAATATCGTAGGGATCGTAACTGACCATTTCCTAGCAAGTATGTTAATATTAATTATTTAACAGTGATGCTTACAAATATTAAAAAAAAAAAAAAATACAATTCACCCTGGTTTATCTTTTCCAAGCGTTCAGGGAATAAAAATCTAACCCTAGGACCGAAAGACGACAATGCTGCCGTTGATTTCCTGTAAATAAAGCCAAATGTTAATTGTTTGCAGTCTGTAAGTCGATGGAAAATGCGATACTCGTCAGTTAAGCTAATCGATAGTTGAACGATGATCGTCATCATTAGATTTTTATTTATTAATTGAAATCTTGTTTGTACAATATGTAAAGATTTCGGTAAAACCACTGACCACTGTTTGGTCAGTGGTAAAACTCAAATGTATTCAAACACTGATTCTAATCGTATCTACACAGATCATATTTGGACTTCTAATAGAATGATATCGATGAATCGATTAGAGCTGTAAAGCATAAATGTTCAGATCACTAACCAGAGAGTGCTAGAATAGGACAGAAATTGGGGGATTTACCGATTTGCACCTTTACACAATTACATGGACAGACAAGGTTTCTATTAATTGTTGTGTTTAGTTCTTTAATTTATTATCTGCATTACATTTTGGCTTATAATCTTTTAATGGAATTAGGGTAAAACAGTAAGTAGTACATACATATGTATGTAAATACATTGCGCAGGAAACTATACTATTAACAGCACCCCGTTGTCTCAACCAGAATATTCATTTACAATCCATGATGAAATTGAGTTTTGAACAAATGTCCTACAAATTATTTAATTGTCTGCTGCTTAATACAGAATTTTGTTCATCGCATCGATATTACCAAATTATACGTACAGCAATAGAACCAATTTAATTAAAATATGTTAACAATTCTGCTAAAATTGTGAATAATTAATTTTATTTAGAGAGATTCATTGACTGTCTTCATTTTTGCGATCCGCATTAGGTTTCTTGGTAAAATATTGGAATGTTTTGAATGCTGCAAAAGCAAATAAAACTGTTCCTCCAACGGCGCATATAAACGGTAGCATATCAGCTGATGGTTCTGTGAAAGTAGTTTGGCCAAAGCCGTTTTTAAGGCCTTCTTCTCCATATTGGTCGTATAATTGTCGTTTTTCCTTATCTGATAGTATTTCAAATGCTATAACAATCTCCTTGAACTGGTCTGCAGCCTCTGGGTGGTCATTTTTGTCTGGATGATACTTAAGGGCCATTCGCTTGTAAGCTTTTTTGATTTCCTCATCAGTTGCTGTCCTATTGATGCCCAGAATCTGATAATAATCTTTGCCCATCGTATTAATAAATGTAAATTTTGTTTCTTGGCTTATTTATGTAGATGAGCAAGCGTTGTATATTGCCCAACTATATTTTGATCACAGCTTGATATTTTATATATATACATATATATTATCCAAGTAGGGCTATCGATATTTATAAATAATGTTGACGACGTCAATGCGACCAATGCAACCACATCGGTTCTATATTTTTAGGGTAACACTGTTTTTAGAGTTGAACTATCAATTAACTAATAGCTGATCATGGATGAACATTTTTATTAAAATATGTATATCTACATCTACGGAATCGAATATAGAAAAATGATTTAGGATAAATGCACTAATTTCTAATTTGCGTGATTTGATTAGAGGACCATTGTGGAAACCGATGTATTTTGTATGTCGTCGTTACAATCGATACATTTTTACGGAATATCGCACATCTCGTCCATTTGGTCCAAGTCACCACCGCGTATAGTTTGTGTTTTGGTAAGTGAAAAATAAAATCTTGGGAAAAAAATGCCATCCTTATACTATTATTATGTAAAATATGAGATATTACAAAATTGTTTAATTATGTAAAGCATAGTAATGATATAATTGAATTTTTGCAGTTCTTAAATTCAATCGAGTCCCTAATACAGTTACAAAATGGTTAGGGAGAACAAAGCAGCATGGAAGGCTCAATACTTCATTAAAGTTGTGGTATGTTCAATAGCTAATATTGCAATAGAAACATAAAATGCGTATGAATTTGCTAATGAAATTGTTTGATTGTAGGAACTGTTCGATGAGTTCCCAAAGTGTTTCATTGTAGGCGCTGACAATGTTGGTTCCAAGCAGATGCAGAACATCCGTACCAGCCTCCGTGGTCTCGCTGTCGTACTGATGGGCAAGAACACGATGATGCGCAAGGCAATTCGTGGTCATCTGGAGAACAATCCTCAGTTGGAGAAGTTGTTGCCGCACATCAAGGGCAATGTTGGCTTTGTGTTCACCAAGGGTGATTTGGCTGAGGTTCGCGATAAGCTGTTGGAATCAAAGGTGCGTGCACCTGCACGTCCAGGTGCCATTGCGCCATTGCCTGTCATCATTCCGGCCCAGAACACAGGTTTGGGTCCAGAGAAGACTAGTTTCTTCCAGGCTCTGTCCATCCCGACCAAGATTTCGAAGGGTACAATTGAAATCATCAACGATGTGCCCATCTTGAAGCCTGGAGACAAAGTTGGTGCCTCTGAGGCCACTTTGCTGAACATGTTGAACATCTCGCCCTTCTCGTATGGTCTGATCGTGAACCAGGTTTATGATTCGGGTTCCATCTTCTCGCCTGAGATCTTGGACATCAAGCCCGAGGATTTGCGTGCCAAGTTCCAACAGGGCGTAGCCAATCTGGCTGCTGTGTGTTTGTCTGTCGGCTATCCAACGATTGCTTCGGCACCTCACAGCATTGCCAACGGATTCAAGAACCTGTTGGCCATCGCTGCTACCACAGAGGTTGAGTTCAAAGAAGCTACCACCATCAAGGAGTACATTAAGGATCCCAGCAAGTTCGCTGCTGCTACCGCCTCTGCGGCACCAGCTGCTGGAGCTGGCGCTGCCGAAAAGAAGGAGGAGGCCAAGAAGGTCGAGTCCGAATCCGAGGAGGAGGATGACGACATGGGCTTTGGACTTTTCGATTAAGCACCGCAACAATCACCAGCGATTGAACGCCCTAATACAATTTTCAATGTTTACATCAATTCGGCCTAACTGCCTCTGCAAATTATTGCCGTGGTTTGACAAGCCCAATGGCAAGTTGCATGTGCAGTGAGCCACCAAATACAACAATAAATATGTAAACTTGTTATTTGTATACAAACTGTGTTTTTAATCTTGTACAATAGCTTCGATTCAATACTCAAGCTTTCTAACTGACCTCTTGCATTAAAAATTATAAGAATATCTGCATGGGTTGACTTCTTTACTCAGATGCAGCTTTTTTTATATTGTGCTGATGAAATGATTGTATTTATTGAGTTCTGGCATCTAACCATTTTGCCATTGACGGTGCTTGCACTGATTGTTGCTAGCAACATTTTCGTCAGAAAGGCTGTTGCGTAGTGTTGCTGAGCAGATGTTTAGCTTGGCGATATTGTTGCTAAGCATATTCAATATTAATATGTACTGCCGGAATATACATGTGCATATATCGAAACAATAAACTAGCGAGTTACTATATATATTTCTCTAACGGGTATACATTTAAAATAGTTCATCTTTATGAACTGAAGGGGCAGAAGATTATTTGCTTCAAGTTTCTATTCGGTAGCTGCAACAAATAATCTTTTCGCTCCATAAACAAAAATAGGTTAGATGAAGGGCATTTCCATTCATAATAATGAAATCTTCAATTAATGAATTCAATAAGAGTAGACGAAATTATCATCTATATATTATTTTAAGTTTAAGGCCATATACTATAATAGAGTATTTGTAGATTATGCTAGACTATGCTGATCGTAAACTGTATTCCTAGCTGAAGGTTGCACTCTTTAAGCTTAATTTTCTCTTGGCTTCTTTTTTTTAAAACTATTTTTTTTTGCCAACAGCCATTTTATTGCCCTCTTCAAATGGCCAAAAGGCTGCGTGTGCAATCCACGTAACGTTGCGACGTCTGCTGCTGCATTGTCTGCCACCCCATATATTTACAAAGTAATTACTTGTGATAAAATGAATTTCACAAGATGAGAAAAGTTTAAAGTTTTCGCTTGGCTCTTGCTGCTGTCGTTGGGGCTGCGACGCGTCGCGACGCCTTTTGATACTTTTATTTTTTTTACTTTTTTGCAAGAACGGCGACGGCAACGGCGACGCCGCTCATAAAAATTCAATTTGTCTTGACAAAATACGCAAGAAATTAAGAATGTGCCAAGTTGCAGCAGCAAAAGAAACTTTATTTCCCTTTTATTTATTTTTATTTTATTTTTTTCTGAGGCGAAAATGAGTTACGCGGCTGGGGCGTGAAAATGAAAATGCCACGCCTTCCAACCAACAAAAGCCCCGGGCATAGTTAAACACTGCATAACTAGCCGCGACCGAGAGCCCGCCAGCCGAAGCTACCATGGATAAATATAACCATTTTACAGGCCATCTGCAACAGTTGAGCACGTGAGTTCGTCTGACTACGATAGTTTCTAGAGATGAAGGTAGAGTATCAAGATTCAGAATTCGGGCCGAAATTCCCTTGATGTGGAGGTAAAAAATTCATATTGATATTGATTCAAAATAAGAAAGATTTTAATAAAAAATATTCTATTCAGATCTCAAATTTGCATTCCCGTAAGCGTTCTATTTTGTATTGTTGTTTGTATAGCTTTTGTTTCATTTATAAAACTATGTCAAATTAATTAATCATATCTAAATGGACTATTGGGTTAAAAAAATAAAAATGTAAAAATATTATAAAATTTAAATTTAGTATAGTTTAGTTATACATTTTCACAATATTATTCCATTTGCTTAAATGATATCCACCTCCGATTTTATCCTAGTCAATTTAAAGTTAATCTCACGAAGCTGAGTTAGCGTCAAGTTTGTCAAGCCGATTCACCAGAAAATCATGCGAAGCAGTTCGGCTTAACAGTTTATAAGGAGGACCGGTTCGATAGCAATTGCTTCACACAATTGCTTAATCACGAGCCCATCACTAGAGTTTTCATTTGGTTCCCATTTGGTTGGTCGTAAATTAATAAAGGCATTGCATAATTTCAGGCGCCGCTGGCGGCAAATACACAAAAATTAACATAAATTGTGGAGGGGTGGCTGTACGCCAGCCTCACCCCCACCCACTCGCTGCCCAGCTGGCCGGCTACACAGCTACCCACTCACCACATCTAATATCAGCACCGTCACTGACATTCGAAATCAAAATGCGATTGGCAAAATGATTTGCTTCAATTTTTGTGATGCGCATAACAAATGAAGTTTGGACATTTGGACAATTGATTGGGACGCCACGAAACGGACGAGCAAACAGCAACCAGATTTGAGAGTCAGAGACCAGAGACCCATATAGACAATATTCGATAGCACACACACACACACACACACACACACACACACACACACACACACACACACACACTCTGTCTATACTATATCACTATATGCAGACATGTACACACATACAGACACATGACATGCACAACAACAAAAGTGGAACAGTCGTCAGATTTGAGCTTCGGACTGGCAGTCTCTCCACTCAACTTGACTTGGTTTGGCTATCAATACGCACAGATAGATAGATTTGTATGCATATTTTTGCTTTGGCATTTCGTTTGTGTGCTAAACATGTGAATGCCATCGATATAACGATGATGCTGCCTGTCATGCATGTTTGTCTCAGCCTCTCAGCCTCTCAGCCACCCGCCTCCGTCCATACGATTTGCGCTCAGCTGAGATTTGTTTTGCCAGAATATTGGCACACCAAACCATTGCCCAATGGCCAAACAAATGCCACTAAATTCAATTCACGACGCACGTCCAAGAAAAAACAAAACTTCTACAACACTTTGAAATGTTTTCGAAAATATTCAAAATCTTCTGAAATTGTAAATACAAAATAAACGTTCCCTGCATCAACTCTGACCTGTGCTGTGTCATTTTGTCACCTAGGCAATTTAATATTATGCATGTGGTATGAACAAGTTCCCAGTAACTCGATAATTTCATATAGCATCATCCCATTTCGAATGGGATCGAATCTCATAATAGGCACGTGAAAATAAATTCCCAGCAATTGCTTTTTAGAATTTTCGTGCCGAGCACGAAGGGCGATAACTGCTCCTACATGAAAGGGGTGTGTGAGTGTGTGTGTGTGCGTGTGGCTGGCTGTTTTTGGGGATAGAACAGTGAATGTGTGGGTGTGACTGAGCTGTGGGGCTTGTGATTTATGTGGGCTCTCCTGTTCTCGTTTGGCTGCTGTTGGCAACTCAAAACATATGCATAGATAAATTATACGCGGTAAGCGCCCACAAGCCCCAAAATTGTTGACAACAACAGCAACAAAAACAACAATGACAATAGCAACAACAACAATAATAAGAACTGCAACAATAACAACCACAATATGGAAGTG